AATGTCCAAGTGCATTGACATTTCGAACCGCGTACAGAGTTTGTTTACAATGACGGGTCGATACGCAACTAGTCCGCGACATCAGGGCGTTTCACGCTGACAAATGAAAAATACATTAAAAGTCGCACAAGGGCGACACGCGTTTGTGACATTGTACGTTATAAGCTGGTTTTACGCGTCACAAAAGGATTGAGACACAAGTGTCTCCACAGGATATACCGTGTCTCAATCACTTTGTGACATCTAAAAACAGCATATACCGTGCCCTGTCACAAAAGCGGATCGCGATTATGCGAGTCCCACTGTATTTTACATTGGTTGGCGTGAATTGCGCTTGTGTCGCGGACGAGTTACACGAGGCCCCGTCACATCCCGAAAATCGCACGCGTGTCGAAATCTCACACTGTACAGCATGCACCTGGACGCCCGAACTGGGCACGTTTCCGCGCGGGGATGGAAACCGCTCTGCCCGGGCTGACATATGACTGGTCCTTCAGCACACACGGTCACATCCCTGCCCGAATGTTTGCCCATCGTTCCAACCACACTGACAGCACGCTCCCGCTCCAATCTGTTCTTCTTCTCCCAACCCGAGCTTCCTCTTTCTTGTTGCGAAGTCTAGCCAGGGTCTTCTTTGGCACGCTGTAGCCATGGCCCGTAAGCGCAAGAGCGTAGCTAGTTCTGTTGACTTGTGCCCGCGGGATCTCGACCAGATCCCGTACATCGCTTGGACGAACAAACAAATCGCGGCCGGCCGCAAGCCCGCCGGCCCTTTGCCCGAAGGAGCGCCTGGTGCGGGGGACACCTCGTTCGAAGCCCCGCGCGATGTCCCTACCCGCGGACGCCGTCATGCCGACCGGGTTGCCTCATCCCGCATCAACGACGATGCTGCCTTCGATGACGATGATGACGCCGCGGACTCTGATTACAACGAGTGCGACGAGGCCTGCGAAGATGACGCGGACTCTGGCGAGGAGCAGGACAAGGGCATGTCCCCCTCCGAGGATGAAGTTGACGCCGACGAGGACGCCGATGACGACGAGGATGCTCCCGAAGAGGCCCAGCCTGCGTCCCCGGCTCCTCGTCGCGGCCGTGCGTCTGCCGCTGCGGGAACCAAGACTGCTGCTAAGGGCGGGGAACCTCCGCGTGCCGCTGCCAAGACCCGTAACTTGCATCCTGTTAAGCGGAGCGTGTGGTCCCCCCGCGAGAACACAATCTTCGTGGCTGCGCGTTGGTTCATGAAGGACGAGCTCGGGCCCCTCCTCGGGAAGCAGGGCTCTCAGTACTTGGCCCGCCTCGCGCGTCACCTCGAGAAGGAGAATCCCGGTTGGGTGCGCGGTGTAAACGCGCTTCAGAAGCAGTGGCGCAATCTTGTGAACATGTACAAGCAGATCAAGAAGGGGGAAAAGGTGAGCGGCAAGGGTGCCGTGTGCAAGCCCCACTGGTACCCGTACATGGCGCTTTTCCAGAACAACAAGGCGGTGGGCAACCCTGACGCCGTCGACGGTGGCGGTGCGGCACACGTCAACGTGCCGTGCGGGTACGCGGTCCCGTCCACTTCGGCGCCCTGCACCTCTACGCCGACATTCACTGGTATGTATGTGTTGCATCAACGGTGGCACTCGCGGGTTTGTTGAATGACACATTTTGTGACAACATTTTACGCACACATTACATCATTAAAATGTTTAGGGTACATAACACCTCGTCTACTGTTCGTGTGCATCCACCGTGTGTGCAGCTCCGCCGCCACAGGGAACTCCTACATCGAAGCGCCCACGTGTGGCAGAGACGGCGACGATGGCCACTGCAAAGCTGGTGTGCGAGACGATCAAAGGCTGCCACTCAGACGCCATGAGCAGGCTCGAAGGCCTCGTCCGCGCGTGGATGGATCAGGACGCGCGTATTGCTCGGGAACGCGTGCAGCAGCCCGCACCCTCCCCGCATGTCCGCGACGACATCCCTGCCCACGCGGACAACATGACCGACTCGCACGCCGCCGAAGGCGGCGACGACGGCTGGCTTCGTCGCGGGCAGGCGGGCGAAGACCCCTCTAACCCAGATGCGGGTGAGGAGGTGTGGGTCCGCGGCGCCGCCGAGTGAGGTAAGACGACTCCAGAGCCTCGCCCAGCCGCTTGCGCCTTTCACGAAGATTCTCTTGCGTGCATGGGTCACATGGCTCCCACATGAACTCTGCTACCGCGCCACGAGTCCACCATGGGTCCCGGTTTCGGGGCAAGTTTGCCCACGATGCATTGACGCGCCTTACTGCGCCCATCATTTCGCACATGTTGTGCAGGATGACGCCACAAGACGCCCCTGCAAGAATGCGCCAGAGCTTGCAGTCATTGCGGCCCGCGAATAGACGCCACCGGCCTTTGAAGGCGCCGATGCAGCGCTCTACTGCCATGCGCGTTGCGCTTTGGCAATAGTTAAAGCACTGCTCCCAGTCCTCCATTAGGCCTTCACGGGGAGCATGTAGGGGGGTCAGGCAGAAGTCTCTGAGTGGGTAGGCAGCATCTCCCACTATTTGGTATGGCGCTATGTCGCCGTTGTACAACCTTTCGTGTAACGCGCTGTTCATGAACACTCTCTGATCGTGCGCACTGCCCGGGTATCCGATCAAATAGTCCCATATGATGCCTCGCGCGTCGCATGTGATCTGCAACTGGACGGCGTAACAGGACTTCCGCGTGTAGTACTCTTGCCTGTGCCCCTCCATCCCCTTCATGGGTATGTGTGTGCCGTCTATAGCCCCCACTACCGCAGGTACCCCCTTGATGGCGCGGAACTCTGCGGCCATCTCGTCGAGGTCGTCGCGGGTCGGGAAGTGGACCCACTGCTGCTTGAAGACGGACGGGAAATGCATGAGGAGCGCGTCAACAAGCATGTGGCACAGGGTCTTGGACAGCCCGAACACGGAGGACAAGTCTACGAAAGACATGCCACTTGCGAGGTATTTGATAGGTACAAGGCATGCCACTTCATGACTGATTAGGTACCTGTCCACGTACGGTTGCATGTAGTGCGTCATCCCGGCGACAATGTATTCGAGAATGCCACGGTTTATGCGAAACATATCTCTGAACTGATCCTCCCCCATGCCGTCCAGGTCCTCTAGCAGCAACTGGTATCTCCGCCGGCGTAGCCCAGCCCTTCGTTTCCGCTCTGCGGTACGGTTGGAGGCGCGAGAGCTGGATGACGAGGACACCTCGTCATTGAAGACGTTCGCCTCCAGCAAGCCACCGACCGACTTGGCGATGGCGTCCATGAATATGCTGTAGTAGAACGTAACCCATGCGACAAGTAGGCGCATGAGGAATGGCACCTCGCGGGGCGATGCCATGGTTGCTAGACAGTGGTGCAGTTTAGCTCTGTGATGCTTGCGTTTTTGTACTTGGAGCCGTGGTTGTATACATGCGATATGTTTAGCCCCCCTGCCCGGCGGGAAAACTGGGTGGGCACAATCCTATTGGTCGCAACCAATAGTACGCACCCACCTGGCTGTGCCCATCTGTCGCGCAGGGTCGCGATACATTGGTTGTTTGTGACACAACATTTGGCAAATTTACAGGCGCGACTCGGGAAAACGGGGATTGAGACACAAGTGTCCCCACAGGAATGTACCCTTAGTTCAGATACCGTATACTCCCGGACAAAACACCCCCCCATAATTGTACACCCCCGGGTAGCTTGTGCGGGGTGGGTGTTATGATAGACCCCGTTTCTACTATACCCCCCTTTTTGGCTGATTTTCTATAACACCCCCCCTTTTCTTACGGATTCATTATTATAGTCGTTAACGAGTAGCTGCAATACGGAAGAATGTCGTGTGAATTTCTCCCTCAATGAAATTTCGCGGTACATTCAAAGGCAATCTGCCGAGATTTGCCCCCTCCCACTATTTCTCTGTCGCCACGTGCAGGTGAATCTTCCGTTGCAAGTGGCAAGAGAGGTGCCACATGCCATTTTCGTGGGGGCGATGAAGTTCGAGGCCGAAACTCACATTCGCGCCTCATGCAGTGATGCTAAAACGACCAGCAAAACACCCACATTGACTAATTAAAAAAACACTAACACTAAGATATGACATATGTAAAGACCCGGGTATTATGTATTTTTTTCCTATGAGGAGACCCCCCCCATTTTTTCCCTGTATTTTTAGCTATACCCTAGGGTGTTATGTCCGGGAGAATACGGTACCGTATTACCCCGGATATAAGCGCACCTGCGCTTATAATAAAACAGTGTTTTTTTGGGGGGTGCGCTTATAATTGAGTAAAAAATATAAGCGCATGCGCTTATAATATAACAAATACAAATATATATTTCAATGCACCAAATTGTACATCTCATCCTTCAGATTTCAATCGAATCGAAATTGTAGAAAGTCACATGTCAAAATCGCGCGCGGGCGATTCTTCGCGAGCGCCCAGAGGCAAAATACAGTGTAACACTTCACTTTGAGGGCGTGCCAGCTCGTGCTGACTGGACGCGCAGGATGTGAGAGGTCTTCGAAAGTCAATGTAAGCGAAAATGGGTTGTGGCCTCGCTGCAAAACTGAGATTCGTTACCGTTTTAATGAAGAATTATAAATAAAATTACACATGCGCTTATAATATATCAGGGTTTTATAAGGGGTGCGCTTATAATTGAGGATCGGCCATAAGCGCATTGCTCCAGATACAAGCGCATGCGCTTTTAATAGGCCTGCGCTTATATCCGGGGCCATACGGTATTGGCATTGCAAGGTTTGTTGGCGGGTTGACATCACGGAACGTGTAAACCAATGGTGGTCATGTCACCATTTCAACAGGTCCTGCAAATGCAACAATGACCAAAACATTGTGAGGCAGAAACAAGAGAATAAAAGAGCTGAGAATGAAAGAAAAAAGAAGCGCAATAAAAAGGGGGACAGGGAAGGGAAGGGGGGAAGGGGGGGGGGGGGGGGGGGGGGGGGGGGTAAAAGAGAGGGTGATACCACGTCAAAAGACCTGCACTTACCAGAGTCGGCGAGCACGCATCACCAACAAAAGACCCACCATCGCCAACCCCTCCCCCACCCATATCCCCGAACCCTCCCCCGACCCCCACGCCAAGCCCCGAGCGAACACCGCGCATGGGAGCACACACAGAGGCTGGTGTCGGTCCGGGTGAGGGGTTTGATACTACAAGATAGAAGACACTCACCAGAGTAGGCGCACACGCATCACCAGCAAAATACCCGCCGCCGCCACCGCCACCCATATCCCCGAACCCATATCCCCGAACCCTCCCCCGACTCCCCCTCCCCAGACTCCCCCTCCCCAGACTCCCCCTCCCTCCCGAATAGAGGTAAGAGACAACCAATTTGATCAAGCGCTCACCAGAGTAGGCGCACACGCATCACCAGCAAAAGACCCGCCGCCGCCACCGCCACCACCTCCCCCTCCCCCACCCATATCCCCGAACCCTCCCCCCACTCCCACGCCAAGCCCCGAGCGAACCCCGCGCATGGGAGCACACGCAGAGGCTGGTGTAGGTCCGGGTGAGGGGTTTGATACCACAAGATAGAAGACACTCACCAGAGTCGGCGCGCACGCATCACCAGCAAAAGACCCGCCGCCGCCGCCCACTCCCCCACCCATATCCCCGAACCCTCCCCTGACTCCCACGCCAATTGCCCTAAAAGGAAGGGAACAACGACTCACCAGAGTAGGCGCACACGCGTCACCAGCAAAAGACCCTCCGCCACCGCCGCCACCCCCTCCCCCACCCATATCCCCAAACCCTCCCCCGACCCCCACGCCAAGCCCCGAGCGAACACCGCGCATGGGAGCACACGCAGAGGCTGGTGTCGGTCCGGGTGAAGGGTTTGAGGTAAGGGAGAGTTGCAGCCGGGAAGAATGCTCTGAAAAACCCAGTGATGTGGTGGGCGGAGGAGGAGGTGGAGGAGGGGGAGGAGGAGGGACGGTAGAGGACAGAGGGATGGATGGAGGAGTGGAGGAGGTTGGTGGCAGAACGGACGAAGCATGCCGTGCGGTTGGACGGAAGGAGGTTTGGGAACCGGACACGTGGCGGGCTGCTATTGGTGCTGTTGTTACTGCTGCTGCCATCTCTGCTACACCTCCTGCTCCTGCTCCTGCTGCTGCTCCTGCTGCTGGACCTATAGGCTTGTGACCCCCCATTCTTCTGGGCACGCCAACACCCCTCATATCCCCCCTCATGCCTTCACCCATGCCCGCACCCCTCATTCCCCCACCCAGACCTTCCCCCATCTGATCCCCCAACGCATACCCTCCTTCCCCCACCCCTTCCCCCACCCCTTGCCCCATGCCGGTCCCCTCCAGCCCCCCGGTCCCTGCTCCTATGATCCCATGCTGCCGACCCCCCATCCTAGGGTGGTTTCCCTCCATGCCCTGATGGCCTAATGCCCCCCTCATCCTAGGGTGGTTTCCCTCCATGCCCTGATGGCCTAATGCCCCCCCCATCCTAGGGTGGTTTCCCTCCATGCCCGGATGGCCCTCGAATGCAGGCAAACCTTCCATGGGTGGGATTGCATCATGCATGAGAGAACTTGCCATGTGTGAGGAGCCCATGTGTGAGGAGCCCATGTGTGGGCTCACATGGGGGCTTACATGACGGGGCATGGGAGCACGCATGGATGCACGCATGGGTGCATGCATGGGTGCATGCATGGGTGAATGCATGGGTTGAGGCATGGTCGGCATGTAATCAGGCATGGTGCTGCTGTAGGCACCACCTATGATCCCACCACCCATGGTACCACCACCCATGTTACCACCACCCATGCCACCATTCATGGCAGTAATATCACTCATGCCACTCCCCATGCCACCCATGCTCGCATTGCCTCCTCCCCCTCCCCTCCCTCCTCCTCCCATCCCTCCATCCCCTCCTGTTTCCCCACAATTCATCATCATCATCATCATCATTGATTCAGCAGCACCACTCCCAACCATTCCCCACTCCCCTGCGCCTCCCACCATTGGATTTCCCCCCATCGTTCCCCCCATCGTTCCCACCATCATGCCTTCCCCCATCACTCCTACACCCATATTTCCATCCACTCCTCCCCACATACCTCCCTCCATCTCTCCACCCATACCCCCTCCCATTCCTCTTACCATACCTCTTCCCATACCTCGTCCCATACCTCTTACCATACCTCTTCCCATGCCTCTTCCCATACCTCTTCTCATACCATCCATACTGTTGCTAAACTGCTGCGCCATACCTATTTCCATATCTGTTCCCATGCCTGTTCCCATACCTGTTCCCATACCTGTTCCCATGCCTGTTCCCCAATCCGAGGCTCCCCCCCTGCCACCTCCGACCACCCTCCCTCCTGCCTCCCCTCTTCCTCCTCCTCTTTCGTCCACCCCCATTCCCATCCCACCTGCATCATCCATTCTCTCCCCCATTCCGCCTCCCCCTGCATGTTCCCATCCGCCCATTCCCCCTACTTCTAACCCACCTCCCCCCCCTCCCCCTGCCCCTGCTACGCCCATCACCCCAGTATCTACATCTCCCCCCCACATCGCATCCCCCTCTGCTCCTCCTTCCCCAATCTCCCCTTCCCCCATGCCTCCCCCCATGCCTTCCCCCATGCCCCCTCCTCTCACGCCCCATGCCCCCATGCCATCTCCCCCAAATCCCCCCATCCCATGCGCCTCTAATATCCTACTCAGCACCGCCTCTTCCATTTCCCCCATGCTCCCTGCTCCCCCCATTCCCCCCATTCCCATCCCCCCAACCCCCCCCGCTCCGCCCATTCCCCTCACCCTCCCCCGCACCACCCCCACCTCATGACTTCCCCCAGCCATCTCTCCCCCCATTCCCGCGTCTTCCCCTTCCCCCACCCCTTCTCCTCCCCCCATCCCTCCTCCTACCCCCTCCCTCCTTCCAGCAAGTCCCATTCCTCCTCCTACTCCTCCTCCTCCTGCTCCTCCCGCTCCTCCTCCCACCCCCTGCCCTCCCCTCCCTGCAGCAGCAGCATTCGCAGCACGAATGGCAAGAGCAGCACGAGCAGAACGCGCAGCAATAGACGCAGCACCACTACCACTACCACCAGCACCAGCAGCAGCAGCAGCAGCAGCAGCACCACCACCACCACCAGCAGCTGCAGCAGCAGCGGCGGCGGCAGCACCACCACCCATTTTCAAAACCCTTAACGTTCCCTGAATTGTTGCATTTTCCGAAGGCAATGTATTGTAACCACCCCCTACTGCTCCTCCTCTTCCCCTCCCTCTTTCTCCTCTTCCTCCTCTTCCTCCTCCTCCTCCTCCTCGCCCCCCTCCTCCTTCTCCTCCTCCTCCTCCTCCTCCTCCTCCTCCTCCTCCTCCTCCTCCTCCTCCTCCTCCTCCTCCCCCCCTTCCCCCTCCCCCTCCTACTCTCCCTCCTTCGTCCCCTACCCCCCATTCTTCTCCCGAACTCCTTATACCTATTTCTGTGTGATAAACCTGGTTCGATGAATGGAATAAGGCTTGGTTCGGTGCCTCGAGTAAGCCTTGGTTCGGTTGGTTCAAAACCTGGAATGCGCCTTGGTTCGGCGATTGGAATGGAGGCTGGCTGTGCATTGGGAAGGAGTCTTGAATCTGGGTTTGAAAGGAAGCTTGGTTCGCTGCCTGAATTGACGCCTGATTTGCGCCGCCCGCATCGTCCCCGTTGTCATTATTAGCCACGTCAGCAAGGGAATGCACGTTGGCACTGGTCAGAACGGTGACGGTGGGAACGCTCGATCGCACCAGCTGCTGCTGCTGCTGCTGCTGCTGCTGCTGGCTGGGAGCGGCGGCAGCAGCGGAAGGACCCTTGCACGCCGGCTTGTGCCTATCAAGCTCGTGCCTGGAAGGGAATATGGAGCAACGAGGAGACAGAGGGGGGAAGGTTGAGCTCGTGCCTGGAAGGGGACAAGCAAGGGACGAGGGGGAAGGGAAGGGGGAGTAGGGGAGGAACTCTTGGGGCGATTTATCTGAGTGGCAGCAGAAGAAAGACCTTTGTACGCTGGCTTGTGCCTGTCAAGCTTGTGCTAGGGAGGGGAAGGAGTGAGGGATGAGAGACAGGGGCGGAAGGGGGGAAGGCAGAGACGTCATGTGTCTTGCAGCCACAGGAATTTCCAGGAAGCCTACGAGCAGCATAGCTTTGAGGAAAGCGCGTGCCGCATGACTTGCAGGGGTGTTTTAAGTCCTCCCTTCGGTTGTGCGCCAGGCTAAACTTCTTGTGGTCACTTAATGCTCATCTCACCTTCCCTATGAGTCGCCTACAAGAGCACTGACTCACCTTCTCATCTCACCTTGCTCATCTCATCTTCCCCACGAGTCGCCTAAACCAACACTGACTCACCTTCTAGGGAAGCGCGTCCCACATGACTCGCAGGGGTGTTTGAAGTCCTCCCGGCGGTTGTGCGCCAGGCTGTACTTTTTATGGTTGCTCATCTTCCCCGCATCGTGCGTCTTGAAGTCGCAAGAGGATCCGTCCACTCGCAGCAAGTTGCACTCGTACAGGCGTGCCGTCTTGCTGTGCACCTGTGGGTAGGGTAGTGGGCAAGGGAAAAGGGAGAGGGAGGAAAGAGAGGGAGGAGGGAGAGGGAGGAAAGAGAGGGAGGAGGGAGAGGGAGGAAAGAGAGGGAGGAGGGAGAGGGAGGAGGGAGAGGGACGAGGGAGAGGGAGGAGGGAGAGGGAGGAGGGAGAGGGAGGAAAGAGGACAAATGTTTTCAAATTATCTCAAGCTCTACGTCTTCTCACACCCAGGCACCAGGAACATGAATCTCCCCTCTGCCCCCAATCTCCCCTCCAGCACCCACAGCAACACCACCACTCGCAGCAGCAGCGCTTGCTGTGGTGTGAATGTGAATGTGAACGTACCTTGGCGAAGTGCTTGTTCATGTTAGCCCTATTCTTGTACGTCTTCTCACACCCAGGCGCAAGACACATGAATCTCCCCTCCACCCCAATCTCCCCTCCAGCACCCACAGCAACACCACCACTCGCAGCAGCAGCGCTTGCTGTGGTGTGAATGTGAATGTGAACGTACCTTGGCGAAGTGCTTGTTCATGTTACCCCTATTCTTGTACGTCTTCTCACACCCAGGCGCAAGACACATGAATCTCCCCTCCACCCCAATCTCCCCTCCAGCACCCACAGCAACACCACCACTCGCAGCAGCAGCGCTTGCTGTGGTGTGAATGTGAATGTGAACGTACCTTGGCGAAGTGTTGACACCACTCGCAGCAGCAGCGCTTGCTGTGGTGTGAATGTGAATGTGAACGTACCTTGGCGAAGTGCTTGTTCATGTTATCCCTATTCTTGTACGTCTTCTCACACCCAGGCGCAAGACACATGAATCTCCCCTCCGCCCCCACCTCCCCTCCAGCACCCACAGCAACACCACCACTCGCAGCAACAGCGCTTGCAACACCGCTAACCACCATTGCCCTCTCGGCACCACCAGCACCACCACCACCAGCACCAGCAGCAGCACCAGCAGCAGTACCAGCAGCAGCACCAGCAGCAGCACCAGCAGCAGCACCACCACCACCAGCACCAGCACCAGCACCAGCACCAGCAGCAGCACCAGCAGCAGCAACGGCAGCGGCGGCGGCAGCAGCAGCAGAAGAAGAAGCAGGAGCACAGGCAGCAGTAGCAGGTATTGCACCATCCATTACTCTATCACTAGGCACCATGGCAGTACAGCTCAGCACCATCACCTCCCCTCCACCCCCACCACCAGTCATTACTCTATCACTAGCATAGTTAACATCCCTCCCAACCCCACTACCACTAGCAGCTGCTACTGCATCAGCATCCCCCCTGGAAAGACCAGCAGGCACTGCTGCTGCTGGCGCCGTCACCGTTGCTGCTGCTTCCGACGCTGCCGCTGCCGCTCCTGACACTGCTGCCCCGCCTGCTCCCCACCCGCCCCCTGCCCGCAGGCCGGCTCTTGCTCCTCCCTCCCCTTCTGCTCCTCCCGCCCCTTCTGCTCCTCGTTTCCCTGCTGCTGTTCCCAGCTCATGCTCATTGCTGCCTTCCTCCTCCCTCCTCCCCTCCTCCCTCCCTTCCTCCCTCCCCTCCTCCTCCCCATCCTCACTCCCCTCCTCCATACCCTCCTCCCTCCTCTCCTCTCCCCCATCCTCCCTCTCACACTCCCCATCCCACTCCCCGGCCCCCTCCCTCCCAATCGCACTCCTCATATACTTCCTCATAGGAACAGCGGATACAGTCACAGTAACCTCCGCCACCCTCCCCCCTCCACCCACCATCGGTCCCACTGGCACACCCACATCTTCCCCTTCCTCCTCCCTCTCTCTCTTCATCCCAACAAGCCTAATCGTTGCCTTGTGAAGGGCACGAGGGGGGAACACACTCCCTGGAGAGACAGAACGGGCGAATGCTTTCCCAGGCATAGGAGAGTTACGCATCCCCAGGGGCGAGTCTAAGGCAGTCCCAGCAGCGGGGTAAGGCGAGGGAACAGCCTTTGCAGGGGAGGCAGATGGGGGAAGCTCAGTATTAGGGTTTAAGGTCTGGGTGTTCTGAACAGCCCAGTGGTCTCTAGACTCCCGTCTGCTAGCGGGGGGATCTTCTTGCCTGTTGGCGTTGTTCCCACTGAAGGCCGTGGGGTTCTCGCTGAAAGCATTGCTGGAAGCATCAGGAGGAGAAGCAAGAGGGAGTGACTGGTCATCATGGCTACTCCTTGCTTCCCTAGTGGGGGCAGTTCTGCTTGGGTTGTGCTCACTGAATGCAGTTTCGGGCGTGGTGCCTTCACCCCCAGCTGCAGTTTCAGGGGTGCTACCTTCCGCACCAGTATGCTGCTGCTGCTCCTGCTGATGCTGCTGTTGTTGCTGCTGCTGCTGATGCAGCAAGTGCTCCTGTCCATCCCTGGCTGATCCCTGCTCGGCTGGTGATGCTGCTGTTGCTGCGGCTGCTGCTGATGACGATGTTGATGGTGCTGCTGCTGCTGCTGCTGCTGCTGCTGCTGCTGCTGCTGCAGTTCCTGCTCCTGCACCTGCACCTACTCCTGCTGCTGATGCTGCACCGGCATCAGCAACACCAGCACCAGCAGCACCAGCAGCACCAGCACCAGAAGCACCACCAACACCGGAAGCATCACCAGCACCACCAGCACCAGCACCACCAGCACCAGCAACGCCAGCAGCACCACGCGCACCGGCAGCAGTATCAACCCCATCAACGCCTGCAGCACCAACAGCACCGGCAGCAGTATCACCAGCACCGGCGGCACTAGCACCGGCACCAACACCAGCATCAGCACCAGCACCAGCACCAGCACCGGCACCAGCACCACCATCAGCACCACCAGCACCACCATCAGCACCACCAGCACCACCAGCAGCAGTATCATCAGCCAATGCAGGCCTCACTGCTACACCTACCCTTTCAGATTCATCCAATTCTTGCAGCTGTGTCAGTAGAGCAGGCGGCAGCGGCGTTACATCTGGCATCACATCTCGCGTTACATATGCCGTTGCATCCTCGATTACATCTGGAGTTACATCTTGGGCGTTTGAGCCCGGACGGAAGCGGACTGCTGCTGCAGACGAAACAGGTGTCGCAGGAGCAGAGCACGTCCCAGAAGGCCCAGGAAAACCACCTGAAAAAACACCTGGAAAACCACCTGGAAAACCGCCTGAGAGCCGGCTACTGTTACGTCCGGTACCGGCAGCTGTTGCAGCAGACGAAACGCGACGGGTCCTAGCACCACCGGCTGTAGCAAGGGCTGTAGCACCGGCAATAGCATGGACAGTAGTGAATACAGATACAGTGGCAGGTTGGGCAGAGGGAGGTGGGAGCGAGGAGCAGCGAGGGCGGATGGTTGATGATGATGGAGCATCCATGGCTTGGCATGGATCTTCGTCATTCGCACATGCCTCGTCATCCTCACCGCATGGATCCTCCTCATCCTCTGCCCCACATCCATCATCCCCCCCATATGTATCTGCATCGGCAGCACCAGCCATACCATCCCGCTCATAACCGCCAATACCACCACACTCACCATCAGCCGCACCACTGCCCGCTTCCCATGTCACAGGCCCGTCAACAGGCCTAACGCCGGACCTCATACCGGACCTAGTGCCAGACCTATTACCGGACCTATTACCGGACCTGATGCCGAACCTCCCGGCAGGTTCACCTGTGCTGTCCCTACCATCCTGCTCCACGCCGTTGGTCGTACGTCTGTATGCATAGCTGACTTTCGTATGCCTGTAAGCAGCAGCAGCGGCATCATCATCATGTGACTGATGTGCGTCATGTGCTCCATCATGTGGCGCATGCGATTGGGGATCCCCGAGTCTGCTTGGATCGCCATTCACATGCGGATACGCCCTAGGTGACACAGGGTCACTTGGGTTGTTGAGATTGCCATGCGGATTGGCAAGACTGCGCGGCACAGGAGAATGGTCGAGGGAAAGGCCATGCTGATTGGCATGCGGATTGCCATGCGGATTGCCATGCGAATTGCCATGCGGATTGCCATGCGGATTGCCATGCGGATTGGCAACTCCATGCTGATCGCGAAACGCATGGTTGGCGGTGGCATTGTGGGTGTACACGTGGGGATGGTGGCTACTGTTAGTAGGGTTGCTGGGATGCGGATGGGGAGGAGGAGTGTTGGGGGTGCCAGAAGGATTGTGGAAGGCATGATGGGTGAAGACGTGCGGATGGTGGTTAGGGGCGGTAGGGTTGCTGGAATGCGGATGGGGAGGAGTGTGGGGAGTGCCGGTGGCAGCATGGGTGCGAGCCCTGGCTGCTGCGTTCCGTTGGCCCTGATATGGGATGGGGAGGGGAGTGGTAACATGGGAGACAGGAAGACAGACAGGCAGACAGACAGACAGGCCGACACAGAGGGAGGATGCAGACGGTTAGTGACAGTGTGGAATGGGGATGGGCAGGAGGAGTCTTGGAATTGCCGGCAGCAGCATGGGTGCGAGCCCTGGCAGCTGTGTTTCGCGGCATTGTGGTGGAATAAGGAGGGGAATGGGAGAGCGTGGAAGACATGGAGCAGCAGGCGCACATGTTCTCAGCAGGCGAGCGCACAGGTGAGTTCTGGATCAAACTGAAAACACGCCTCAACCCAAACATGCTTGTAGGCCGCACTCAATGTATGCAACCCTTCATGCGAGCACACACACACACACGCACTCACCAGCCGAACCAGGTTGGTGCCTGCCTGCTTCAGGACTGCTTCGATTCGCCTCAGCACCTGAGTAACCACCGTAATAAACATGAAAATATATCAAAAGGATTGGTAAGCATATACTCCGATTCCTACAGGGCACAGGCTTAGTAAGCCAACGAATCATGTCACCCGGACTTTTTCAGCGCCTCATACTATACAATGTTTAAGGTCACGAAGAAAGCCAAACTCACTAAGCGTAGCACTTAAGTCAGCACCAGCACCGTAGCACTCACATCAGCTGTCTGTGCTTTGACGTCCACCATCGAGACATTGGCAAGCATCTGAGGAGAGGGGCGGGCAGAGGGACATAAAGAACAAGGCAGCAGAGAGGAAAAGAGCACCAGAGTGTTTCTTAGGCGCCTGAAGTTGTGTGCGCTTTGACGCCCACCATCGAGACATTGGCAAGCATCTGAGGAGAGGTGCAGGCAGATGGACACACAGGGAGATAACTGCACCAGGGATGCTTCAAAACAGCCATCAAGAGACAAAGCTCTTTGCTCCTTGTTCCTCCCTGATTTACCTCATGGCATCTTCACTAGCGTCATGACATATTCATCGTCCTGGCATATTTGGTAGCGTCATGACATATTCATCGTCCTGGCATATTTGGTAGCGTCTAAGAAACGAGTAAGTGCATTCACAGGAAGGACAAATGGACCAGCGCCATTAGACACAGATAGCGACACTGACCGCACATAGCGATGTTGAACACAAACAGCGACACGAAGCTGATTCGCTGACTTGTACAACAAAGCCCATTACAGCCATAAGCAGCGTGCGCGTGCGCGCATACAGTGGGGCCCGTACTAACGAGGCAAGGACCAGCACATACAGTGGGGTCCATGCAGAGGCAGCCTGAGACGAGGACAAAGCCTCCTGATCGAACCATCTCGTCGTCTCTTTCGATGCTCCTGGCACGGGGGAAAGGAGGAGGGGGGGGAGGGGAAAAAAGGTTGAGACGAATCAAAACAAGCAGAGGCAGCCTGAGACGAGGACAAAGCCTCCTGATCGAACCATCTCGTCGTCTCTTTCGATGCTCCTGGCACGGGGGAAAGGAGGAGGGGGGGGAGGGGAAAAAAGGTTGAGACGAATCAAAACAAGCAGAGGCAGCCCGAGACGAGGACAAAGCCTCCTGATCGAACCATCTCGTCGTCTCTTTCGATGCTCCTGGTAAGACGAGGAGGGAAGGAGCAGGTAAAAGGTGGAGCAAGGGCAGGAGGGAGGGATGAGCTGAAGGGAGCACTGGTGGTGCAAGGGGAATCATATCCTAGCATCATAATTCTCGCTTTAATACGTCATACAGAGCTTCATGCTTCTCGCATGCAATTTCATCCCCTGCAGACAGAATACATGCACTAGCTTACTCAGACGATGGAGATGCTTCATCCCCTTCTCCTTTTTCTCCTCCTCCTCCTCCTTTTTCTTCTGCTGCTGCTGCCTCTCCTTCTTCACCTCCTCCTCCCCCTCCCTCTCCTATTCCTCCTCCTCCTCTCCTTTCTCCTCCTCCCCCTCCTTCCCCTCCTCCTCTTCCTCTCCCCCCTCCTCCGTCCGGCTCTTCACCAGCAGCTGTATCTACCGCGTCAGCCGGCGCACCTTCGTGCTCTGCCGATGGGGGGAACCGGCTCTGTCGTTCCTCGTCGTCTAGAATCATCTTGGAAAAAAAACTTCACTGTGCAATCGTCGCACCTTCTCTTCAACACTGTGGATTCACACTAGACTCTGGTCGGACCAGCAGAATGATTACTTCAAGACGTCTTGAAGATAATCCTCGTCCCTCACCGCCACCGCACGGCGACGATCAAATTCATCTACCGCGCCGCGCTATCCACGTACGTGCATCCAATGTTCGCATTACTACCAGCGCTGGTTATGAAATGTCTCTATCTTTCGCGTTCCGACCGCCACCGTCGATCCACGTTTACTACTGCGTCGTAACGCGAATAGAAGCGTCCCGGGACAACGATCTGACTAGGACTGAATTTAATCAGGATGCGTCGTCGCCAAATGCACGATCATCTAGTCGCCTTGTGGACGGAACGGACGATGCACACGATGAAAAACGGCGCGGCACGACTCGCGGACGGAGGACGTCGGAATCACCAACGCGGCGAAGATGGCGATTCGGATACCAGGAGACGCGCTCACCGCGATGAATGAATGATAGATCTCGGCAGCAAGGCTATTTTCCGGAAATATTACACGGGATCTTCGAGTAGTAGTACCAGCAACTTGAAATTGCTTCGTAAGACGACAATATGTACGGAGCTTTCTGACCTATGAAAAATATCAAAACGTCACGTAGTCACTGATCATGCTCCAAAAGCATTGTCGAGATTAGTCCTGGCTCAACGCTGAAACATTCGATAATACAATTGTGCTAACGCCGGCCACTGCAAAGGTAAAAAAAATCAAATACTTCTCAAAATCAGCTAAACGCTAGCGCACCACCCAATTCTGGTGATCTAAAATTAGCTAACGGCGAAAGTGCAAAATACCTTGAATGGAGTAAAAAATACCGGTTTTCTGAACGAGTTTGACGAAATTACTTACTCCTGCACAGCGTTGAGAAAGAATGCGCTCGACAACGAAAAAAGGCTATCGCACCACTGAACAGGACAAGGAAATCGAGTCGCCAATGTGTCTTTTTAGCCTAATATCACCTGCTAACTTCGCCGTCTGCCAACAAGCACGGTGCTGGTGCACGGAAACACCTTGCAAGAACTACAAGTGAGGGAAAGTGGAGGGAGAAATCATCATGCTACTACTACATCCAGCCACAACCCTAACCCTCAATCACGGTTGCTGTCTCTGTCTCTCGAGTGTACTCACTTGGCCTCACTCGAAGATTATCAGGAAATTTTCATCTGACTGGTAGGGCGCATTCCTGAGTGATAAGCTGCACATCGCGCTAGCCCTCTTTCGTACTTTAGAGAGCGATATGAACGCTCGAAAGTGGTGGACAGCTGTGACGGGGTTGCTGTTTTCTTGTGTGCGAGAACACTTGCGATGACACCTGTTCTGCGTCCTTTGCATTCAGGAAGGGATTGTTCTAGAACATTCTCCCAAGAAGGTGGGTTGGCCTTGGCCGCACCACATCCCCACTCTGCAAGCGCAATCAAGAAACAACCCCTGCGCCGTCCGATCGAAAACTCCTAGTCCAAATCGTCGGTACAGTACATATGCATCGGGTATCATCACCCCAGCGTTGGGGTTGGATCCTAATGGACGAACGAGATGCACTTTTGAGTGTTCCTTGCCGAATGGACGACGGCTGACCACGTCGAGGAAACACCTGCTTCATGTCAACTTTCATCCAGCCAATCACATCTGTAGCAAGGACAACCTAGTCCATGTTGGAAAACGTACCCGTATCGAGTTTTTCGTTAGCTGAATACTTTCAGCAATACCTTTAGCCATCTTGGTTTGATTCCACCCACACACTTTTCTTTTGATCAAGATTCCAAATTTCTCCACTCAGTCATCCCTCCTTTCCACAACCTACTTACTTGGAGAACATAGTCTAGTATACGAATTATGTGGGAATTCGTTGCCAGGCTAGCTTCTTGCTCCGCTCTTAGGACGCGTCACAATTGCGACATCAAGGAGGATTGCGGTCACACACCGAAGCTGCGAGAATCGATCTCCTCTGAGCCAGATGTGTCGCGATTGTCTTCAGGTTCGATAGTTAGCGGGGTTAGAAGCCTTTTTAAAGGTTTAAAATTTAGAAAGCTTGCTTTCTAATACTTATCATTTGGCATCGTTCTCATTTCAACTGGGCATCGTTCTCATTTCAACTGGCAAATTACAACATGCACCTCGAGCTAGACAATATAAGTGCTAGTACATGTCCTGATACTTCCTATCAATCATTCGTCAAGCTATCAATCCTAGTAGGTGTGTGCCGCTAACCCATATTGTACCACTTGTGTCCTCCTGTGTAAGCGGCGGCCTTGGTGTCCATCGGTGTTGGGGCGGGGGGTGGGAGAGTTGCATGAGCCGTTTGAAAAATGAGAGACGTGGGTGGAGGGAAATGAACTCCAACCCACGATTTGTAGTTGGAGAAGGGCGTTTAGCGCGCTTCGATGATGCCAAATTCGCGTTACAGTCAGCTGCGCTTTCGAAATACGTAATTTTAAAAAAACACTGTGTGTTTAAAAATTATCATATTTAGAAAGCTTGCTTTCTAATACTTATCATTTGGCATCGTTCTCATTTCAACTGGGGTCTCTGAGACATGGGCAGCGGGGGTTTTCGATGACGCACGAGTGCCTCCGCGTGCTGTGCTGAAGAAGGGGCGTAGGCCAGATCTTGCAGCTGGCGGGAGGCGCTGATGAGATGTTCGGCGTTGGGCGTGACGTACATCTCCTTCGCTGTATCGCTGGGCCATCTGCCCAGTCGTTTGAAGATTCTGTCCGGCACGCCGGTGTTCGCCGCAGCAGTGGCTGCTCCTTTGCGAAAGGAGTGAGTGCCCAGCTGCTGTTCCCCTAGTCTGATCTTCCCAAAGGCTTCTTTGCACCAGTTCCGGATCGTCGGGTACGACGGCGGCCTTGCTTGGCCTTGAAGTGAACCACGTCCAAAGATGCGAATCAGCGGCCCTGCGGACTGTCGGTCGTATCCCGCGAGTTGGATGAGCCGTCGGGTGCAGCGGACAGGGCAGAAGGGATCATGAGTTGCGGCGATGGGTATCCATGTGCCCCTTCCAGCTTGGTCCGTCTTGGAGTACAGGATTAGGATCCACATGACCTCACTGTCGAACTGGATGTTTTGCCACTCGATGGCGATGAGGTCCGAGTATCTTAGGAATCCAGTGTACAATGAGGATAGGGATTAGCCCCTTTTGGAACTCCCCGGGGTTGTCGGATTGCAGGTAGCTCGCAGACATGTCGTGGACCTATTGCAGCGAGACAGGCTCCTTCACTCGTGTGGGGCGAGGACAGTGTCTTTTCGCGAAGTCGCGTACTTGAGTCGTGAATGGTCCGGTCGTTGGGCATGTGCTCCCGGTCATGCGGTGTGCAAAGCTCACCGCTGAGCATGTGAGTTGTACCATGGGCAGGGTGGCTCTGTGTTGGATAGCGTACACCAGGTACAGCGCGAGAGTCATGTCCGACGTGGGGAGGAATGGGAGGTTGACCTTTGCACAAAATGCTCGAAACTTGACCCAGTATGGCTCGTATGTTCGGATCGTTGAATCGGCCCGAGACTGTGAGAGCATCTTTAATAGTTGGACTTGTAGCTTCGGTAATACGTCTGCGCGAAGGCGTACAGGTTGGGTTAGTCGAAGACCACTCATAGTGCAATGATTGTGCTATGAGGCAGTCCTATGCCTGAAAAGGCAGTGCGGTGTGTTCCTACTGCTAGGCATTGGCTGCCGTGCGTTATGGGAATGTGCGCTCGGATGTGCGGGGCCCAGTTAGGTGGGGAGGGTTGTAGCAGTGGCCACCAGTTTGCCCCCGTCCAGTGTGGGACGATTAGGGTGAATGATGCATTGGTGCGTTGTGCGTGGCGGATGACTGCCGGGATCAGTTGGGGTGGTGGGAACGCAAAGCCATTCTCGTTTGTCCATGAGCATGAAAATGCATCAACCACGGTAGCCTCGGGGTGTGGGATCTTCGAACAGAATCGTGGTAGCTGCGAGTTGTGATGGTTTGCGAAGAGGTCGATTGAATGCGGTCCCCAACGGCGATCAAGGATCCGGAACCATGGTTGCTTCAAAGAGTAATCGTCCTGGTCGATCAGCTTTGACAGCTCGTCAGCATGGGAGTTAAGCTCTCGCGGGATCCATTCGACAATTAGTCGAGTGCCGAGCTCCATGTAGATACGGATGATGTCCTTGCAGGCGGTGGTCAGGTCGGGGGTGCGGGAACCGCCTTTGCGAAGGATGAAGAAGACCCCTTGGTTGTCCACCCTGACGAGCACGTGTTTTTGTTGGACCTTGTTCGCATACGTTCGGATGGCCCAAAGGACGCCCTCGATTTCTCGTCGGGTGTTGGACGTTGCTTGCAGTGGTGCTGGCATGGCTGCACTGGCTTCTTCAAGTTCGCCAAGGAAGGTGAGCAAAGTGGCACCCCAAATGTGGGAACTAGCGTCCACGTGGATTACAGCGTCGTAGCTATTCTGGACGTGGAATGGTGCGCCATTAAATTTGTCAAACTCCTCGAGCCAGAATTGCAGCTCCTCCGCCACAGGTGGGGAAATGCTCACACTGCTTCCCCAGGACGGCACGTCGTTGATCGTTTGTAGCATGGCGTGGCTGAACGCGCGAGTCGTGGCACCTAGCGCGACAGCCATTGACGCGAGCGTGCCCGTGATTCTGGCGAGGTGGCGGACTGGAACCTGTCGACGTGCTTTGCTTGCGCTCAATAGATTCTGAATGTGTGCATGAAGTGATGCTCGTCGATCGGTGCCAATAGAGAATTGTCCCAAGTTGGTATCCAGCTCGACGCCCAAGAATCGCAGCTGTTGTGACGGGGACAGCTGTGATTTTTTCGCGTTGATCACCAAGCCCGCCATCTTGAGGTCCGAGATTATCATCTGGCATGTTGCTTGTGCATGTGCCTTGGACGTGCATAAGAACAAGATGTCGTCCACGTAGGGTACAACTCGAATGCCTTGTTCGCGCCAGCGCCTGGCTAGTTGTTTGATGAGTTGTGTGAAGACAAACGGTGCTGTCGCGAGGCCGAAGGGCACTGAGCGAAAGGAGTACGTGCGCCCCTCAAATTCGAAGCCGAGGAATTTCCAGCAAGAGTGGTGTATGTCGATATGATGGTATCCGGATTTGAGGTCGATGGAGAACATCCAGTCTCCTATGCGCGCCAAGTCGGCGACGCGATTCAATCCCTCGTATTTGAATTTCGGAATGATCAGGTGCTCGTTCACTTTCCGAAGGTCGAGAATAAGCCTGCATTTGTCACGTTGCTCGACCACGTTGAGAGGGCTTATGCATGTGAGCTCCGCTGCCGGGGTAACGACCGCCGCTCCGGTCTCCGTCAGTTCGCGAATCGCCGTGCGTGTGAATGCCGCGTGTGTGTGCGCGCCGAGATGGTTGCGTTCGTGAAACGGTTGTGGGGGGTTGTGTCTCCATGGTAGCCAGTAGCCATTGGCGATGACCGAGAGGATGAGGCTACTTGGGCACCACGAGCTCCACCATGCAAGGGTTGCGCGAAGTCGCCCGCGCATTCGCGTGACGGTCTTGTCTGTAACGGCGAATTCGTACGGATCGTCGTCGTCTAACACCTCCTCGCTTGTTGCCTCTGCATGTTTGCGGAGTGACAATGGGGCAGGATTGCAAATTGAGATTCTTATGGATATGATACACATCCTTCGTGTGTGAAGGGTAGGTGCATGCGATGGGTGTATGCTCATTGAACCATTCGAATAATAATTTGTCGGCAATAGCATCCGCATTGTACGCCCCCGTTTTTTTTTTTTTTTTTTTTTTTTTTTTTTTTTTTTGGCAATCCCTTAACCAAGGAGCGGGTGTGAGTCTTCCCGCATGGTCACGTGACCACAAGTTTTTTTTTTTTTTTCTTCTCCTTGTTTATCTCTGGCTTACTCTCTCTCTCTCTCTCTCTCTCTCTCTCTCTCTCTCTCTCTCTCTCTCTCTCTCTCTCTCTCTCTCTTTCTCTCCCTCTCTCTCTCTCTCTCTCTCTCTCTCTCTCTCTCTCTCTCTCTCTCTCTCTCTCTCTTTCCCTCCCCCTCCCTCTCTCTCCCTCGTTTTCTCTCTCACACACACGTGCGCACACACACAAATTCTCCTTCGTTCTTGCTCTTGCTCGCCCTTGAGTCGGGTCATGCTTCTTGGCCCGTTGGCCAAAGCAATGGTTGCACGTCCGATGAGTGCAAGGGTCGTTGATTGGGGTCATATGGTAAGTATCTTTGCCATTCTTTGCTCCTCCATCTCTCCTTGTCTCTTCTTCTTCCGCTTCTTCTCTCTTTCCTCCCCCCCCCCTTTGTTTTTTTGTTTTTTGTTTTTTTTTTTTCACACCATGAGACAAGTCAGAAATTGCTTCTTTAATAAATCCGCCCTTATATAAACTGGGCCATACATTGCCATGCTCCTAGCATGCCTTCGCCCAAACCGCATGGGCTACTACCAATGGGCCAAGAGGTTTTTACTCCCTCCCCCTCATCCTAGGCCTCTAGCCTATTAATCACCCCTAACTAGGGCTGGCCAACCGCCCTTGCTAACCCCTTTGGGTTGCCCACGGTCTTTGCACATGACGTGCACCGTGCCACGCGCACAAGGCGCCATCGCTCAAGGCCCGCCCCTACACCACGGGTGCGGGTCCTTGGCCACCGTTTCCGTTTCTCGGGCAGCCACTTGCCATGTGGCCCGGCTGGCCACAACGGAAGCACGCCCCACGGAAGCCATGGAAGCCACCCGTGGGCGGCGGTCCCCGCTTTGGGGTGTATGAAGTCGGCCCGTGCCCTCCACCGCGGTGGGAACGAGCGTACGCGCCCTCCGCGCGATCCATAGCCGCCACGTCAGCCACCGCCTGCTTGAACGGGCGGGAGGTGAGGAGACTCTTCTGCTGGTAGAGTTTGAATCGCTTCGCCACGCGGTCGTCGGTGTGGTCCTCGACTTGGAACATCACGAAGCGCTCCGAAATATAGTCGAGGGCATTGACGACCATTTCGAGTCCGCCCGCCGTGTCGTCGTGCTGCAGCTTGTACTCCACGTGTTTCAGGTAGGCCCTCACGTCCTCCAGGGGCTCCGCTTTCGCGCGCACGATTGTCTTCATGAAGTTTGCGGCCGAGAAGGTGGGGGTGGTGGAAGGAAGGGGGGGGAGATTTTCCATGGATGTAAAATTTGTTGCGTTGATTGGAGCCTCACCAGCGTCGTCGTCTGAGTCGTCGGAGTCATGATTGTCGGCTGCGGCTTCGGGAACGCCGGTAGCCGCTTCTTTGTTGTGACGGCGTGTTGACGCTCCTTTTGCTCCCTTCTCCTTTTTCGAAATTTCGTTTTTAGCCGAAATCGATGCTGCCGGTTGTGTAGTTTCGGCTTCAATGACGCTGGCGGGTCGCTGCTGTAACAGGGACAGAAGCGCTTTGACTTGGTCCGGGGTCAACGCTCCGGTCAAGTCAGGGTCCACGGTCGCGTCAGACGAGGCGGCCGTCCTGCGCCTCTGGCGCTGACGCGACTGCATGAGGGGCGCGTGTGCCTCAGGCGCGTGCTCCGCGTCAGCAGCGTGTGGCGCCACGTTCGCCACAGGTGCCACAGGTGCCACAGGTGCCACTGGCGCAACAGGCGCCACAGGCGCCGAAGGGTGCTGCTGGTGCCGCTCGGCGTTTTTGTTGACCTCGAGCCCGCCCAGCAGCACGTCGACGGCAGTTGGGGCGGACGTTTCGCCGTCTGCCCGGCGCTTGTTGCGGCGCTCGCCCGACGTTTCCCGGGCATTGCGATCGTTGTCGGAATTAATCGGGTCGTTGACGACGGTGTTGTTCGCGCGGTTAAGTGTCGGCGTAGCAGCCATCGTCGTGGTGTTGTGGTTGAGAATGTCGGCTAATAGTGTTGAAGGTGAAACGCCTCTCGGTAGAGAGCGGGTTCTAGCCAGCTTGAACGGAAAACTAAAAATAAGCTCGAGGAACCGAGAGTTGCATGAGCCGTTTGAAAAATGAGAGACGTGGGTGGAGGGAAATGAACTCCAACCCACGATTTGTAGTTGAAGGGCGTTTAGCGCGCTTCGACGATGCCAAATTCGCGTTACAGTCAGCTGCGCTTTCGAAATACGTAATTTTAAAAAACACTATGTGTTTAAAAATTATCATATTCACTACGTAGGATTTGAGTGCGGTGACAGATCGATCTGGAAGGGACATCGCGTTCGGTGACTTGTGTTGGGTCTTAGCGAACTTTAACGAAAACAGGATACAAGACACGGCGAACTACTGTATACTCGGAACATCGATCTCCCGCAGGATCGATGTCGCAATTGTGACGCGTCCTTAGCTGCTGGGTGATGATGATCTTACTGTAACAGGGTGTACAAAAATACATCCACTCCAGCTGTCATGGATATGTCCAAACTCTAGGAACAAAAAGGTTAAAGGTCATAGCACCCTGCTGCTACCCAATCACATGCAGCCATCTGTCACACCAGGAACCAGGGAGAGTTGTTTCTGTGGCTGCCAAGCCAACCAGTCACATCCAAGCAACCAGGCAGCTGAGTTCCGTTGACATGCCGCAAAAGCAAGCAAGCAGATAGAAAGACAGTGCCAAAAGGGTTTAAAATCGCCATTTTGACTGAGACAAGCAGCAAGCAGCAAGCAGCAATCAGGAGCAGCAATGACAAGCACTCACCTGCCAGACCAGGCAGCTGAGGAGCCAAAAGGCATGCAGTTGCCGCAAAAGCAAGCAGTCACAGAGAAGGAGGGGAATGAGAAGTGAATAAATGGAGGGGAATGAGGATGGGGTGGGTGGGGGGTACAGACCGGAAAGTTGAGGAGTCAAAAGACATGGACTGCAGGCAAACAGACATATAGGGGAACGGGGGGAGGGGGGGGGGGGAAGGATGATGAGTGAATGGGCGGGGACAGATGAAGGGTGAGTGGGGGCAAGCTGAGGGGAGAGCAAAGGGGGATGTTGGGAGGTTAGGTTGTAGAGAGGGGGAAGGGGAGTGAGGGAGATGAGGGGTGATGGGGTTGCGGTGGTATGGGAGGGGAGGGAGATGAGGGGCGGATCGGGAGGGAGAGGAGGCGTGAGGGGGGGGGGGGGAGGGAAACTGAGGTATGGTGGGGGGAGGGGAACACGGGTAAGTCGGAAATGCGGGAAGAGGGGAGGTGGGGGAGAGATGGGGAACGAGGGGGGAGTGGAAGGGAGATGAGGGTGGGCGTGAAGGAAGAGAGCAAGAGAGCGCGGCGGTGATATGAAGGGGGGCTGGGGGGATGAAGGGAGAGAGGGGGGCATGAGGGGAGGGCGGGAAAGATGCGGGGAGAGCGGAGAAGATGCGGGGAGAACGGAAAAGATGCGGGGAGAACGGAGAAGATGCGGGGAGAACGGAGAAGATGCGGGGAGAGCGGAGAAGATGCGGGGAGAACGGAGAAGATGCGGGGAGAACGGAAAAGATGCGGGGAGAGCAGGGACGATGAGGAGAGAGCTGGGAAGCAGAGAGACGAATTATGTTTTTAGGCTGCGTCATGGGGTGAAAAGGGAGAGAAGGGGAAGCGGGGAAATGGGGAGGGAAAAGGGGAAAAATAGGGAAAAAAAAATGGCGGGTTCCCGTGTTACCTTTCGCGGATCCTCTCCGTCCTCAAAAAGAGCTTTCACCCGTCCATTCTCCCGTTTCACCCCGCCACTCACCTCCCGCCCTCCTTATTTCCGCCTTGCGTCCGGCTACCGTCGACAAAGCTGTCTAATCGACGATACGCGCAACGTTACTGATGCGTTTGGAAGCGAGGCGACCAATTCGTCCGCGGACGTATGTTACTATTCCGTCCTCAATCCGCAAGCAATAAAGAACGTCAGATTCGGAGGCGTGCAACCGAATGCGGTGGGGCGACTAACTGCAATGTCTGATGTCAGATCTAATTCTGCTAACACGCTACCAAACGCGTTGAAGCGACTAACACCAAGAAACGACCGATAGAGTGGGTCACCTTTACCACAATAGTTAACTCGCTGCCAAAGCAAGAAGATGGCCTTACGCTCCACGTTGACTACCGCGCTAAGATCTGGTAAACGAGAAACAAGTATCAAGAAACAGCTAACATGATGAGCGACAAAACTACCACCGAGTGTAAGTCGAACCTTGCGCTATTACAACTGGAAAATGACGGGTGAGAGAGAGAGGATTAGGTAGGGATGAGCAAAAAAACGAACACCTGGTCGGTTCGCCTCGAACGTGTTTTTTTTGCTTAAAGTGTTCGCCAAACAGTGTTCGAGGTTCGTCCGAACACGTTCGTGTTCGGGCCGCTGCTGCAATTTGCCCCGCGACGAACACGAACGTGTTCGAGGTTCGCCCGAACGCGCCTTCACGGGCGAACGGCGAACACCTGTTTTTTTGCTTAAAGTGTTCGTCGAACCGAACAGTGTTCGGTTCGGGAAACGGATGTGTTCGTGTAGGGGCGAACACGAACATGTTCGTGTTTGCCCCTTGCTCATTCCTAGGATTAGGTGTGGCAGGTTCGGCAACTCGAGGTTCGGGTTGTTGATAATGCCGTGGTGGATGTGCCATGGTGGCTAAAACACCATTTCTATTGGCTCACGTGAATCTCATTTCATCCAACCATTGGATTTCCAGCTGCCCGATTCAGCTTTAGCCGGTCAGCTGAACTTTTCCGCGCCACTCACGATTCCCATAACTAAACCAAAGCCGTCCCGCACCTCACGCAAAATTCACACGGGTTCGCTAAAAAAAACTCATGGCCCAACTAAAGAAAGCGCCACGTCAACCACCTCCTAGAAGTTCGAGCCTGCCCTTGCAGTTGTGCATCAGCACGCCGAACAACCTTCCCAGCCAGAAATACGCGTCCTTGGCAAACGCGTTTGCATACGAGCAAGGCCAACAAATGTGCATTTTAACCAATTTGCATTTTCTAACCAATCTGTGTAAAAGCAGTGTACAGTTTGGGCTGGCCTGGATGGATAAGGGGGCCCGCTTCAAAATGTTCTCCACGCGCCGCTCGACAAATGTCCCCTGCCACAATCTCAGCGCGCCATTTGATTGGCCGATGGCACAAGCCACCACACCTCCTCACCGCTGTGGTCTGTTGCACCACCACCATCCATCCATTCACATCACACTGTACTTCTCGCACCGCGTACCCAGCCCAGTGTCAGTATTTCCCTCGCTACCAGCCATAGCACATGACCAGTAATTCCCCCGCTACCGCGTAACACCGCACTGCACCCAGGTAATTGCTGTACCGCACACTTGATTCATTGATCCATCACATTTGGGTTGACGCCGCGCTAGCCGCCAGTCAGAAAGGCTGGAACTGAATTCAATCATCCCTGATCAGTAGCATGCCTTTCCTTCAGTTTCAGCAGCTACCTTCTGCTACCTGCTCTATGGACCATCTCATCCGGTCTAGCGACGTTGCGTTTGTGACGTCCATTTTCTTCATTCTCAAACTCGATGAAGGATTTTCAGTCCAATCCTATGAGCTACATCATAGACTTCAGGCTATAGCTCTACCTGAGCAACCTAAGCGACTTGAAGTCGCCCGGACAGTACACGGTGAAACCCATGGCAGGCTGCGGCGTTGAGTTAGGGGTTGGGGTGGGTGGGTAGTCTGTGAGGAGTGAGCCAAAGCGTGCCTTGGGTGTAACCGTGTACTGCGCCGAATCTCGCGGCAACCTTTTCACCGCGATATCATCTTTATGCTCTTTAAGAGCTTCGGGAGTTTCAATGTATCATCTTTACGCTCTTCAAGAGCTTCGGGAGCTTCAATATATCATCGTTACGCTCTTCAAGAGTTTCACGATCTTCAAGAGCTTCGGGATCTTCAATGTTTCCGATGGCAACCTTTCACCGCAACTGATACATGATCTCATCTGCAAGATCTGCATGGCGAGTCTATTTCGAAGGATCTTCACGCCAAGAAACTTCCACGGCGAGAAAATCACGGCGCGATCTCCGCTCCAAGATCGTCGCGGCAAAGAAAGGCTCAACTTGAAGGAGTCCCATGGCGTCTCCCCTGCTGGCTTAAGGTGCTGCTACCGACCGACTTAGAGACGGTTAAGGTGTTACTACCGGCCTCCTCCTCAGCAGCACAAAGACGACCGACTTAAACAGAGGAGGTAAGCTCAGCTTTTTTCAATTTCTACCTACACCCTCTTTTGGCCGGTTGAGCTTTATGATTTGTTGTCGGTTTTCCTAGTAAGATTGTAACTCTTTTCCTTATTCTCTTGCAGACAATGACAACTTCTCATGCAACCGAAACCTGAAGTGGCCCGGACAGTACACGATGAAACCCATGGCAGGCTGCGGCGTTGAGTTAGGGGTGGGGTGGGTTGGGTAGTCCGTGAGGAGTGAGCCAAAGCGTGCCTTGGGTCTAATCGTGTACTGCGCCGAATATCGCGGCAACCTTTTCACCGCGAGATCATCTTTACGCTCTTCTAGAGCTTCACTCTCTTCAAGAGCTTCGGAAGCTTCAATGTTTCCGATGGCAACCTTTCACCGCAACTGATACATGATCTCCTCTGCAAAATCTACATGGCGAGTCTTTTTCGGAGGATCTTCACGCCAAGGAACTTCCACGGCGAGAAAATCACGGTGGAGGTAAGCTCAACGTTTTTCAACTTCTACCGACAGCCTCTTTTGGCCGGTTGAGCTTTAAGATTCGTTGGCGGTTTTCCTAGTAAGATTCTAACTCTTTCCTTATTTTCTTGCAGACAATGACAACTTTTCATGCAAATCGCTGAGGACACAATTCCTCACCAACGCTTCGCTGAGGACACAACCCCAACTGAAGTCAAGTTCGCGGAGGCCGGAGGAATTGAAGCACAAGTCAAGATCTTTCTGTCATTGGCGCCAAGAGAAGTCTTTGCCGCCAACACGAAGACGACCCTTGGCAAGTGCAGCTTGCAATAACTTTCTGCCATAATTTTTTTATTTTTGTTTTTTACATTTGTCAGGAAGTTCTTGTTTTTCTTTTAGGTTTCGTGTACTAAACTGTTGCCTTCTTCCTGCAGACCTCTTGACAACTCGAAAGCGACGATTGAAAGCGCCGACTTGAGAGCAATTCAAAATCGCCGACGCAGCCAATAATCTACGGCGTGTTTCTCGCACCGGGGTCTCCGCTCAAAGCTCTTCAAAAGCTGCAAGGCGCTGCTGGTAGGCCTATCCCGGGAAGGAGACGGTCGATTGGAGGTAAGTAATGTTCCATTTCTCCTACAACCGTTTTTGGCTCGTGTTCAACTTGTTTCGTAAAAACTGTTTGACATGTTTCTAACTCGTTTTTGTTTTCCTGCAGAGTACCTAAGACTGGAGTGCTTCTACCCGGCATACAGTGCCGATTGGCCCAGCCCCAAGTCAAGCTCGCTCATTTGGCTCTCACCTGACAGTCGCGAACCTGAAGGCCGGGTCAAGTCCTTGTTGAGGTAAGTGAATCCTTGACTTGTCTAAGTAATACCTCTGATTTAAGCTATAAGTGACACCTCCAAGGTTTCCTTCTCACTTGTCTACGTACTAATCTGTTGCCTTGTCTTTTCAGACCTCTTGGCGACGACGACGATTGCCGACACAGCGACGATCACGGCTGCATTTCGGATTGTCGTGCGCCGTCAAGATGCGTCGAGATGGTAAGTGAAGCCCTTTTCGTAATTAACGTTTAGTCCTAACTTTTTGGCAACATATTCTCTAGTACTAACGTGCTCTCCCTGCGTACTGCGCTTCATCGCCGTTGACGGATTAAACTACGGGACCTGAAAGTCGCAGACCTGAACGCCGTGCATCACTGGTCAAGATCCGCTCGCCAACAGAACGTCTGTTGTCTTGAACGTGCGCAGCCTTTAGTCTAGACTATGAAGACTATTTAGAGTCTTAGTAGTATGCATAGTAACCTCTGGCTTCAACTGTGTGAAGGAATTTGATGGAAAACGCCAAGGCAGAAAGTTGAAGTAATTTCATTGAAGAAGGCAATACAAAAACAGAAAACACAAAGCAAGTTATAAGCAAAAGGATTTCTGATTTCGCCCTCGCGCCGCGCCTAATTTCGAGCTGAGTTGTACTCGGCTCAATTTCCAAATCCAACCATGCACCGAACGCGCCTCGAGTTCGAAATTCAGACTTCCTTGGACGCGCCTTTGACCCGGCGTGACTTCTCTTCACGTCACTTGAAAGCACGACATTTCAGCCATGTTCTTCTCCATTTCAGCACGCTTCCTCTCCTTCTCTTCGTTTCCCACTGCAGGTCGCGCTGCTACCGTGTTTCTCCTTCCACCGTCCCAACATAGGTAGTCTCTCTTCTTCTTAGGTCCTCGCTTCCCCATAGTCTCAGCTCGTCAAAGTAGGTTTTTCTTAGGTCGATGTAGGTCACTCCAGGTTGTGCTAGGTCGTGGTTAGCTAACCACCGTCAACAATCTCCCCTGTGGTTTGCTAACCAGCTTACGCACGTTTCACCTTGAACCAGCTCTATGCCTGCTCCACACTCCCTTGCAATTCAGCCAAGGTACGTATCCCAACCTCTCTCTTGC